TGAGCAAGGTAACATTTATGAAGGGATTCAGGAAAACTGACAGGTCAGACTTGAGCCCAGGAGGTGGGAAGTAAAGTGCCCACACTCTGAAGGAGGGGGTGTTGATGTTGCAGTTTGATAACTGTAGTGTAGGCACACCTCTGGCAAGACAGTGATGAAGTGAATGATGACGAAAGTACTATTTCTTCTTTTTCGGGTCACCCTGCCTTGGTGGGAAATGGTCGATGTGTTAATAAATATAAATATATATATTTACACACATACAATGTATGAGAGAGGGAGATGTAAGACTTGTAATATAGATGACTCGTTAGGCAGCGGCATCAGCTACAGCTCTTGCTACTGCTGCAAATGATATAAATTATGGGGTCTTCAGCCCCCTTGCCCCCCACTTTCATTCTGCCATTTATTTCAGACAATCTTCATTTCAGGCATCCCGAATAGCGGCTCTCAGAGCTCTTGATCCGCTTCCTTTCTCTGCTTTTCTGACAGACTCATATGGGCGACAACATTCCTACCTTAGAATATCTCTTACAGAAAAGTGCAATCTCAGATGTAAGTAATTAAACTGTTTGTCAAGCATTTGATTTAATCAGTCCCTCTTTTGTATTAAATGTTGCTCTTTGAAAGTATGTTAATTAAGAATCGGTAAGAGGTTAATACTTCGTTTTTCATTTTTAATCATTTTGTGCGTGTGTGTGTGTGTGTGTGTATTTTGCCCCTCTCATGTTGTATTTGATATTTTCCAATGTACAGTGGAACTGTGGTACTCGAACAGCTCTGTACTTGAACAGTTCGGTATTTGAATGCTTTATTCGGTAAATAAATCACTCGGTAGTCAACCATTTGCTCGGCACTTGACCAAACAAACATGACCTGCCAGAACTTCACTGTAAACTGTTTCATATTTCTTCACAATTTTTGATGTTTTTTTTATATTGTATAAATAAGTCACCATGGGGCCTAAGAGGGTTAGTGATAGCAGCCTACCAAAAAGAACAGATTGGCACTAGAACAGCCTTCTGGAACCAATTAAATGTGAATGCAGAGGTTCCACTGTAATTGTACCTGAAAGTAGCCAAAATGATGAAGCACAGTGTTCTATGAACTGTTTAATAGAAAAAATTACTATAAATAAGTACTTACTATATCATAGCACCTATATAATGATACATTATTTTTTAATTTCAAGTTCACCTCCCTAGCAGGAATACAGTACGTATTTGTCGAGTACCATACTACATTTATCTCACATACAGTATCACTTTTTTGGGTTATCCTAGGTATTCTACACATATGCTGCTGTGTATGATAATTTATGTAACTGTATTTATGTGTACCTGTACCTGATTAAACTAACTTACTTATTACTGTATTGCAATGTCATGACTCATAAAATTACTTATTCCCAGGCCAGTACTGTATGCCAGAAGAGGGAGTGAGTTTAACACCTAAAGAAAGGCTTTTGTCCTCAGAAGAAATTATAAGAGTGGCAAAGTTGTTTATATCAGAAGGTACAGACAAGATCAGGTTGACCGGAGGTGAACCCATGGTCAGAAAGGACTTGACACACATTGTTGGTAAATATACATTTTGCCTGCCTAATCTGGAGGTCGTGTTATTGATTTTATCAATGTTTTGTGTTTTTTTTGTGCAGTTTATTGTGCATATTTCAAACAAGCAAAAACTTTATTTCTATGAAATTGAGCACAGTATACTATTATTCAATTAGGGTGACTGACATGTATAAACTACCTTATAGAAAGCTCATTATGCAAGGAATGTTGGGCAACCATAAATTTTGTGAATGTGTATTTGCTTTATTAGTTTCTAAAAATACTTTATTGGTTAGTACGGCCTCTCCTCGCTTAACGACAGAGTTCCGTTCCCGAGACCTTGTCAGTAAATGAATTCGTTGCTAAGTGAGGAGCATACTATAATCATAGTGGGTTTGAGTCTACCATCTTTGATATTGTTTTAATGTCACCTTTGCAACATTTGTAACATTTCTGGTATATTTTTAAATGTTTATACAGTAGTGTACTGTATATTGTAGTAAATAGAATAGAGGAAATCAGCTCTTAATATACATACATTATTTAGGTATGAATACTGGTCAGAGAGCCCGTTGTAAGTCCGAGTTGTCAGTAAATGAGTATGTCGCCAAGTAAGGAAAGGCTGACCAAAAAATTAAATGTCAAAAATTAAGTATAGCCTTTCCTTTTTTTTTTTTTTTTTTTTTTTTTCACTGGCCGATTTCCACCAAGGCAGGGTGGCCCCAAAAAGAAAAGCTTTCACCATCATTCACTCCATCACTGTCTTGCACCCTTCTGGCAAGACAGTGATGGAGTGAATGATGGTGAAAGTTTTTCTTTTTTGGGCCACCCTGCCTTGGTGGGAATCGGCCAGTGTGATAAAAAAAAAAAAAAAAAAAAAAAAAAAAAAGGAAAGGCTGTACTTAATTTTTGACATTTAATTTTTTGGTCAATAGGTTTTTCATTAGTGTTGTGTAAAGAAGATGGATGTTGGGGAAATTGACATGTGTATATCAGGGAACTATGAGAAGAGAGAGAGAGAGAAAGGGGAGAGATGTACAAATCTCCCATAGAAGGACCTAAGATGAGTTCTTTACATTTAACTAGTTCTTTTAGTTTTCTAAATATGCTGTACTTCCCTTCCCTTTGAATTGTGAGAGAATTAATGTGGCATGTAATATTATATCTATCACGTGAAGGTAATAAGAACTTTAACTGTGCTATGTACATTTTGTAGTACTTTTGCACCTGTATCAATATAGTGTGTTAGGCACTTTATCATAGTTATCAATTTTAAGGACTCATATGGCCACAAGAAAATCAGGAGAGTAAATAGACCTTATATCTTAAAAGGCTGGTTGTCTTTAATTTGTCCAATTAAAAATGCAAATGAAAAAGCATAACAAAGATGAAATTAAGTGCTCAGTGATATTTTGAGTTGCCCAACAACTCTGCTCTCAGTGCCACACTTGGACAACTGTTAATTCTGGCATCACTTGATGTAAATATAGTTTTGAGATCACCATATCAAGAGCAAGATATGACTATCCTACGTTATGGTTTCTAAGAGCAAAATGAGCAGGGAGGATGGCTCTCCTGGTAAGAAGAAATTAAGAGATACAATATTTGTCTGCTTTCTCGAATTCAGTCTGACCTGTGAGCCTAACCCTCTAACCCCTGTTTTTTTATCATTAATTCACTATTAGTATTTTGGCATTTGCAGCATTCTTTCAGAACCTAACCCTTGCAAATACCAAGGGTCTACAGTACAGGTATTTTACTTTGCAGAGTCTTTGTCTCACCTTGGGGTCAAGCAGTTGGGTATGACCACCAATGGATTGTTATTGAAAAGGCATTTGCCTGAACTGCAGAGAGCTGGACTCACGCACTTGAATGTCTCCCTTGACACACTCATCCCACAGAAGTTTGAACTTATCACACGACGTCGTGGTTGGGAGAGAGTGATGGATGGTATTGAAGTAGCCCTAAACTTAGGATACTCTCCTGTAAAGGTATGAGTGGATGTCTGTGTGTTCTGCATGCTTAAACCTAGTATTATGGTAGACCTACCAGTTATGGCAAGGTACATTAATTGAAGAAAGGTTTAAAAAGATGCATAAGTGATTGATTTTTTTCTAAGAGTGTAGATTCAACCTAAGTAATCTTTAGATTCTGATTCTTTTTAATGCTGTGTTGAAGGAGTGGATAGTGTGTACATCTGCAGGTGAATGACAAGGGTTCAGTTCAATACTACTAGTTTCTCACTTGTAATTTTCACATTTATTATGATTTGAATTATCAATTTAAATTTTATTGATATGATATGGATAAATCTTCAAATATTTAATAAGTGATAAATTGATGACAAGTTACAGAAGTGCAGGTAACATGAGAAGGAGATGTCAATATACGTATTAAGCTTAATATACGTATTAAGCTTAATATACGTATATTATGCTTAATATACGTATTAAGCTTCCAAGATGCTGGGGTTACAGAATATCAATGGAATATAGCTTGAGTAATGACCATAAGACAACTTGACTCAAGAAATCATAACACAATTGCTCAGTGATGAGGAATTGTTAGGAGGGAGAAATGTTAGGTTGCTGATTAAGATCATGACACATTTAACCAAACAGTAGATACAAATATTTGTCTGCTTTAATGCTTTGTGCACCTTCTTAGTTTGATGGGTTCATATTAGAACAAAATTAAGGAAGGAAATGAAAATGATATACAGTACCAAGTTATTATGAAAGACTGTTTTTTAACAATTCTGAAGAAATAACAACAGATGGGAATACTTCTTGTATTGCAAAATTTCATTGTTAAAAGCTTGTAAAGTTTCATTAAGTAACTTGTGTGCCTCATTAAATATGCCACAGTGCCATCTTTAAATATCTTAAACAATCGTGGTGGCATCACACATCCTTTTGTGAGGCCTACTTTTAATGGAAAATAATCCCCCTCTCTCATGTATACCCTAACTTGAGCTTTACTGTCTGCATGAAAACTTTTTGCTTCTTTTAGTAACCTACCACCTATTTCACATATTTGTAACATTTGCCTCGTTATCCACCCGATCATATGCCTTTCCTCCTAAATCCACAAATGCAACGAACAGTTCCTTCCTTTACTAAGCATTGTTCATTTACATGTTTCAGTGTACTGTAATTGCTTGACTTACATACAGTGGACCCCCGCCTTACGATATTAATTCGTTCCTGAGAGCTCATCGTAAGCTGAAATTATCGTTAGCCGAATTAATTTTCCCCATAAGAAATAATGGAAATCAAATTAATCCGTTCTTGACACCCCAAAGTATGAAAAAAAAAAAAATTTCCACATGAAATATTAATTTTAATACACAAACTGAAGAAGACATGCACAATTACTACTCTACTAAGAATAGAATACATGACACTTACCTTTATTGAAGATCTGATGATGATTGATGGGATGGGAGGAGGGGAGAGTGTGGAAGTTATTGTTGAGAAGGGGAATCCCCTTCCATTAGGACTCGAGGTAGCAAGTCCTTTTCAGGGGTTACTTCCCTTCTTTTAATGCCACTAGGACCAGCTTGAGCCACTGGACCTCTGTCGCACAACAAATCTGTCCATAGAGCTCTGTACCTCCCGTTCCTTTAAGACTTTCCTAAAATGGGCCATAACATTGTCGTTGTACAGGTTGCCAACAGGTCTTGCAGTAGCTGTGTCAGGGTGATTTTCATCCGTAAAGGTTTGCAGTTCAACCCACTTCGCACACATTTCCTTAATCTCTTTTTTCAATTCCATACTAATTCTCGCCCCTTTTTACCACAGGGATGGCACTAGAAGCTTTCTTGGGGTTCCATGGTGACTTATTTTGCAGTTACAAGCACTAAAAACATGGATAATGTGAAATGTACCGTATGTATGCGTAGATGCGACCACACTGGCTGGCTTGTAAACACTAGTGCTGAGGCCACACGTGGGATGCATCCTGGATGAATCACGTAAGGCGTGGCAAAATTTTTACGTTCAAATGCTTCATATGGCGGATTTAACGTGACACGATGCGTTCGTAAGGCGGGGTCCACTGTATCTCTAACATGCTAAAATCCGTATTTTCTTAAAATGTATTCAAATTTCAGATTAATTGTGTTGTAATGCGTGGGAAAAATGAGGACGAGCTAGCTGACTTTGTAGAACTGACTCGGCATAAAGATATCGATGTACGCTTTATAGAGTACATGCCCTTTGATGGAAACAAGTAGGTAGTTGAGTATTTCAGAACTTTCCTTTACAATTTACAGAGCACTTATTAAGAATATACTATTTTGACTAAATTTTTTAAATAAAGCACTTTTGTAATTCAATACAGTATAGTATACAGTATATACATTATTGCAATAGACCTAAAATCTTTTATAGAAATATTGATTAGTCAGCTGTCTGCTGTCTCTACTTCCAGTGCTTTAGATAAAACAGCATCAATTGAAGAATCATATATTATATATATATATATATATATATATATATATATATATATATATATATATATATATATATATATAATATATATATATATATATATATATATATATATATATATTTTTTTTTTTTTTTTTTCTTTTTTCAACAAGTCGGCCGTCTCCCACCGGGCAGGGTGACCCAAAAAAAGAAAGAAAATCCCCAAAAAGAAAATACTTTCATCATCATTCAACACTTTCACCACACTCGCACATTATCACTGTTTTTGCAGAGGTGCTCAGAATACAACAGTCTAGAAGCATACACACATAAAGATACACAACATATCCCTCCAAACTGCCAATATCCCAAACCATTCCTTTAAAGTGCAGGCATTGTACTTCCCATTTCCAGGACTCAAGTCCGACTATATGAAAATAACCGGTTTCCCTGAATCCCTTCACTAAATATTCCCCTGCTCCACACTCCAACAGATCGTCAGGTCCCAAGTATCATTCGTCTCCATTCACTCCTATCTAACACGCTCACGCACGCTTGCTGGAAGTCCAAGCCCCTTACCCACAAAACCTCCTTTACCCCCTCTCTCCAACCCTTTCGAGGACGACGCCTACCCCGCCTTCCTTCCCCTATAGATTTATATGCTTTCCATGTCATTCTACTTTGATCCATTCTCTCTAAATGACCAAACCACCTCAACAACCCCTCTTCTGCCCTCTGACTAATACTTTTATTAACTCCACACCTTCTCCTAATTTCCACACTCCGAATTTTCTGCATAATATTTACACCACACATTGCCCTTAAACAGGACATCTCCACTGCCTCCAACCGTCTCCTCGCTGCTGCATTTACCACCCAAGCTTCACACCCATATAAGAGTGTTGGTACTACTATACTTTCATACATTCCCTTCTTTGCCTCCATAGATAACGTTTTTTGACTCCACATATACCTCAACGCACCACTCACATTTTTTCCCTCATCAATTATATGATTAACCTCATCCTTCATAAATCCATCCGCCGACACGTCAACTCCCAAGTATCTGAAAACATTCACTTCTTCCATACTCCTCCTCCCCAATTTGATATCCAATTTTTCTTTATCTAAATCATTTGACACCCTCATCACCTTACTCTTTTCTATGTTCACTTTCAACTTTCTACCTTTACACACATTCCCAAACTCATCCACTAACCTTTGCAATTTTTCTTTAGAATCTCCCCTAAGCACAGTATCATCAGCAAAAAGTAACTGTGTCAATTCCCATTTTGAATTTGATTCCCCATAATTTAATCCCACCCCTCTCCCAAACACCCTAGCATTTACTTCCTTTACAACCCCATCTATAAATATATTAAACAACCATGGTGACATTACACATCCCTGTCTAAGACCTACTTTTACCGGGAAGTATTCTCCCTCTCTTCTACACACCCTAACCTGAGCCTCACTATCCTCATAAAAGCTCTTTACAGCATTTAGTAACTTACCACCTATTCCATATAATTGCAACATCTGCCACATTGCTCCTCTATCCACTCTATCATATGCCTTTTCTAAATCCATAAATGCAATAAAAACTTCCCTATCTTTATCTAAATACTGTTCACATATATGCTTCAATGTAAACACCTGATCTACACATCCCCTACCCACTCTAAAACCTCCTTGCTCATCCGCAATCCTACATTCTGTCTTACCTCTAATTCTTTCAATTATAACCCTACCGTACACTTTTCCTGGTATACTCAGTAAACTTATTCCTCTATAATTTTTACAATCTCTTTTGTCCCCTTTCCCTTTATATAAAGGGACTATACATGCTCTCCGCCAATCCCTAGGTACCTTCCCCTCTTTCATACATTTATTAAACAAAAGTACCAAACCACTCCAACACTATATCCCCCCTGCTTTTAACATTTCTGTCATGATCCCATCAGTTCCAGCTGCTTTAACCCCTTTCATTCTACGTAATGCCTCACGTACCTCCACCACACTTACATTCTGCTCTTCTTCACTCCTAAAAGATGGTATTACCTCCCTGGCCAGTGCATGAAATTACTGCCTCCCTTTCTTCCTTAACATTTAAAAGTTCCTCAAAATATTCTCGCCATCTACCTAATACCTCCTCTCCCCATCTACTAACTCCCCTACTCTGTTTTTAACTGACAAATCCATACTTTCCCTAGGCTTTCTTAACTTGTTTAACTCACTCCAAAATTTTTTCTTATTTTCATTAAAATTTCTTGACAGTGCCTCTCCCACTCTTTCATCTGCTGTCCTTTTGCACTCTCTCACCACTCTCTTCACCTTTCTTTTACTCTCCATATACTCTGCTCTTCTTATAACACTTCTGCTTTGTAAAAACCTCTCGTAAGCTACCTTTTTCTCTTTTATCACACCCTTTACTTCATCATTCCACCAATCACTCCTCTTTCCTCCTGCCCCCACCCTCCTATAACCACAAACTTCTGCCCCACATTCTAATACTGCATTTTTAAAAACTATTCCAACCCTCTTCAACCCCCCCATACTCATCTTTGCACTAGCCCACCTTTCTGCCAATATTCGCTTATATCTCGCCCGAACTTCCTCCTCCCTTAGTTTATACACTTTCACCTCCCTCTTACTTGTTGTTGCCACCTTCCTCTTTTCCCATCTACCTCTTACTCTAACTGTAGCTACAACTAAATAATGATCCGATATATCAGTTGCCCCTCTATAAACATGTACATCCTGGAGCCTACCCATCAACCTTTTATCCACCAATACATAATCTAACAAACTACTTTCATTACGTGCTACATCATACCTTGTATATTTATTTATCCTCTTTTTCATAAAATATGTATTACTTATTACCAAATTTCTTTCTACACATAGCTCAATTAAAGGCTCCCTATTTACATTTACCCCTGGCACCCCAAAACTACCTACTACTCCCTCCATAACATTTTTACCCACTTTAGCATTGAAATCCCCAACCACCATTACTCTCACACTTGATTCAAAACTCCCCACGCATTCACTCAACATTTCCCAGAATCTTTCTCTCCTCTACACTTCTCTCTTCTCCAGGTGCATATATATATATATGTTGTATTCTGAGCACCTCTGCAAAAACAGTGATTATGTGTGAGTGTGGTGAAAGTGTTGAATGATGATGAAAGCATTTTCTGTTTGGGGATTTTCTTTCTTTTTTGGGTCACCCTGCCTCGGTGGGAGACGGCCGACTTGTTGAAAAAAAAAAATAATATCTTTATCAGCAAGTACATACACAAGACAGTTATTGTAATTGGAATGGAGTAGGAAAAGACTGGGAGAATAGGGAGCTATGAGAGAGAGAGAGAAACTGAGAATGGACATTTACTTAGCTATTGGTGTCGGTTAGAGCAAGGAAAGAGCACACCTGTCTCTACTACCTACTAACCATCATAAAATGTATAAAAATTTAACTACTCTTAAAATACAGATGGGTGGACAGGAAGATGGTGAGCTACTCGGAAATGCTGGAGAACATCACTCAGATGTACCCTGACCTTATGAAGGTGTCTGACAAGACAAACGACACCTCCAAGGTACTGTTCTTTGTCTATATATACATTATATATATACACCTACCATCTGACTTAAGACCTGCTCGACTTACGACCACTCGACTTACGACCGTGTTTTTTATGCCAAATTTCGGGGAAATAAACATCTATTTGTGTTGTACACAGTGTTTATCCTAAACCTTACAGTATAAAATACAGTACTAACAACATAAAAAGTAAAGTAAAACATAAAATTCCAAAATAAAACAATAAAATAAAGTCATTACAAAAATGTTTTGTTGATATTCAGTAGTAAAGTTCGACTTACGACCGGTTTCTCGGAACCGAACTCGGTCGTAAGTCGGATGGTAGGTGTATATATAATTTTTTTTCTTATATGATTTAAGAGAGATTTTGAAGTCAAGAGAAGCTCCTTCTGTCTCTTGTTTCATAATTCAATATGACTACCCATAAATGGCAGCCTTTGTGGAACTTTTCAACCCCCCAGTCTGCCTTGTGGGCATTTTTTCCCTTATAATGATAACAGTGTGTTTTCTACCCATTAAGTATCATATTTCTCCACAATGCAGTTGATTATGAAACATGTACCAGGAACTGAACTTCTCCTTTTTTTTTATTTGCATATTTTTTAATATCTTAATAAATAACAAAAATATTTTGTTGTAAATATCACTACTAGTATGGCAGGGACAGCATTATACATATTATACAGTCTAGTAACCCCCTCTGTATACATTACTAAAGTTAAAAAGAGAACCTTGTGTTTTCTTTTTTGGGCCACCCTGCTTCGGCGAGATGCAGCCAATTTGTTGAAAGAAGATGAGATATTATACAATAACACCTGTGTTCTCTTCACATAAAGTATCCTCCTCTCATGATGCCTAGTTTGTTATTGAACAACCTCCCTAGTGGAGCATGAAGCACACTTTTGTTTACCAGACAAATTTGAGGCACAGGATATGAGATGTTTGTTCAGTATATGTTACTTTGTTTCTCATATTTTAAACCCTTAAAAATTAATTAGTTTCCCTGTGGTGTGTCCAGTTCCCCCTCACTGTCATAGAGCTATGTGACAAAAAAAATAACCATTTTTTATACCTTTTTTTTAAATTAGTATATTTTCTAAATACAGCAGTACAAAACAAAATACAAGACACACAACAAAATATATTTGCATCATTGACAAACTATTGGATGCTTTGCATTTTGTACTGAGTTTCATATTTTTATTTTTTAGTCTTATTTTTTGTTTATTTGCCACAAAAGCATTTTCCTTATCAACAGGCATACAAAGTCCCCGACTTTGCTGGGCAAATTGGTTTTATTACCTCTATGTCTCAAAACTTTTGTGGTACCTGCAACAGACTAAGGATAACAGCTGATGGCAATCTTAAAGTCTGCCTCTTTGGTGCTGCTGAAGTTTCATTAAGGCAAGTGTACATCTGTTTGTCGTATGTTGGATGTTCATTTGTTTTAGTAGCTGTAAATATGGCAGTAAATGTTGTGAGTGTGTGTGTGTGTGTGTGTGTGTACTCACCTATTTGTGGTTGCAGGGGTCGATTCATAGCTCCTGGCCCCGCCTCTTCGCTGATTGCTACTAGGTCCTCTCTCTCCCTGCCCCATGAGCTTTATCATACCTCGCCTTAAAACTATGTATGGTTCCCGCCTCCACTACGTCACTTTCTAGGCTATTCCACGGCCTGACTACTCTATGATTGAAGAAATACTTCCTAACATCCCTTTGATTCATCCGAGTCTTCAACTTCCAATTGTGACCTCTTGTGTCTGTGTCCCTTCTCTGGAACATCCCGTCTTTGTCCACCTTGTCTATTCCGCGCAGTATTTTATATGTCGTTATCATGTCTCCCCTGACCCTCCTGTCCTCCAGTGTCGTCAGGCCGATTTCCCTCAACCTTTCTTCGTAGGACTATCCCCTGGGACTAGTCTTGTTGCAAACCTTTGCACTTTCTCTAATTTCTTGATGTGCTTGACTAGGTGTGGATTCCATACTGGTGCTGTATACTCCAGTATGGGCCTGACGTAAATGGTATACAGAGTCTTGAACGAATCCTTACTGAGGTATCGGAACGCTATCCGTAGGTTTGCCAGGCGCCCGTATGCTGCAGCAGTTATCTGATTGATGTGCTCCTCAGGAGATATACTCGGTGTTATACTCACCCCCAGATCTTTTTCCTTGAGTGAGGTTTGCAGTCTTTGGCCATCTAAACTATATTGTGTCTGCGGTCTTCTTTCCCCTTTCCCCCAATCTTCATGACTTTGCATTTGGCAGGGTTAAACTCAAGGAGCCAGTTCTGGACCACGCTTCCAGCCTGTCCAGGTCTCTTTGTAGTCCTGCCTGATCTTCATCCGATTTGATTCTTCTCATTAACTTCACATCATCTGCAAACAGGCACTTCTGAGTCTACCCCTTCCCCGTCATGTTGTTCACATATACCAAGAACAGCACAGGTCCTAGGACTGACCCCTGTGGAACCCCGCTTGTCACAAGCTCCCACTCTGACAACTCGTCACGTTCCATGACTGTTGTTGCCTCCCTGTCAGGTTTTTTCTCTGATCCATTGCAGTGCCTTTCATGTTATGTGTGCCTGATCCTCTAGCTTTTGCAGTAACCTCTTGTGAGGGACTGTGTCGAAGGCCTTCTTGCAGTCCAAAAAAATGCAATCGATCCACCCCTCTCTCTCTTGTCTTACTTCTGTCACCTTGTCATAAAACTCTAGTAGGTTTGTGACAGGATTTTCCTTCCCTAAAACCGTGCTGGTTGTCAATTATACACTTGTTTCTTTCCAGGTGCTCCACCACTCTCTTCCTGATGATGATCTCCATGACCTTGCATACTATACACGTTAGTGATACAGGTCTGTAGTTTAGTGCCTCATGCGTCTCCTTTTTAAAAATTGGGACTACATTTGCCATCTTCCATACCTCAGGGAGTTGCCCAGTTTCAAATGATGTGTTGAAGATCTTTGCTAATAGCACACACAATATCTCTGCTCCCTCTTTAAGGACCCACGGAGAGATGTTGTCTGGTCCCACCGCCTTTGAGGTGTCAAGTTTTGCATAGCAGCTTTTTTCACTTCCCCCTTGGTTATATGTACCTCATCCAGCACTTGCTGGTGTACCCCCTGTTTCTGATTTCCTGGAGTCCTACTGGTTTCCACTGTAAATAAATCTTTAATCTCGTGTTGAGCTCCCGACATACCTCTCAGTCGTTTCTTGTGAAAATTTCCCCCCCACCCTTCCTCAGTTGATTACCCTTTTCCTTGACTGTTGTTTTCCTCCTGATGTGGGTGTACAACAGCTTTGGGTCAGTCTTGACTTTCGATGCTATGTCCTTTTTCATATTGTCGCTGAGCCTCCCTTCTTATCTGTGCATATTCATTTCTGGCTCTTCGGCTAATCCCTTTATTTTCCTGAGTTCTCTGTCTTCTGTACTTTTCCATTCTCTGTACACCTAGTTTTTGCCTCCCTACACCTTTGGGTGAACCAAGGCTCGTTCTGTTTTCCCATTATTTCGTTTCCCTTGGGAACAAACCTCTCCTCTCCTCCTGCATTTTGTTGCCAATGTCCATCATTTCTTGTACTGGTTTTCCTGTCAGTTCCCTCTCCCCCTGAATGTTTTGAAGGAAGTTCCTTATGCCTTAGTAGTTCTCCCTTTTGTAGTTTGGTTTTTTCCCACCCTATTCCTGCTACTCTCTCCACTTGGAGCTCAACTATGTAGTCGAAGCACAGAACCACATGATCACTAGCTCCCCGGGGCCTTTTATACAAGATATCCTCGATGTCCGAACTACTCAAGGTGAATACAAGGTCCAGTCTTGCTGGTTCATCTTCTCCTCTCTCTCTGATAGTGTCTCTAACATGTTGATGCATGAGGTTTTCCAGAAACCACATCCATCATCTTGGCTCTCCATGTTTTGGGACCCCCAAATGGGCTCCAGGTTTTCCCAGTCAATCTCCTTGTGATTGAAATCACCCATAACTAGAAACTTTGCTCCCCCATGTGTGCTCTCCTGGCCACCTCGGCTATGTGTCGACCATTGCTCTGTTGCTTTCATCGATTCTTCTTTTGGGCCTCCTGCAGTTCTGTGGTGATTGTACATTACTGCAATTATCACCTTAATGTCCCTCAGACTGGATTGTTCCTACTAAGTAGTCCCTTTCACCCGTGCCATCCTTTCCCTTCCATTTTCTCAAAACCCCACTGTGTTTTTAATGAGCATTTGCAACTCCTCCTCCCCTCTCCTCCCTCTGTCTTTCCTGAGGATTTGATATCCGGGTGGAAAGATTGAATCTGTTATTATTCTTGTGAGTTTTGTTTCTGTGAGTGTTATTATGTCTGGGGATGTCTCCTTGATTCTTTCGTGCCACTCCTCATATTTTATTTGTTATTTCAATCTGCATTTGTATACCACACCTTCAACTTCTTTTCTAAGACTGTGGTCTGGGAGGTGTATTGGGGTTGGGGAAGTGGGAGACCTGATAAGGAACTATGGTTGCTGTGGGGGTGGAGTTTATAATGTAGTGGGTGGGGGCATTGGATGTGGCATGGGTGTTTTGGTTTAGAGTGTTTGGCTGAAATGGGGTTGCCCTTTGGTTGGGAGGCTTCTTGGGAAGCTGTAAAGGAGGTTGTATTGATCTTCTTCCTGTGTCTGGGATCTCCTGTCTGCTTCTCCATCCCCCCTCATTCCTCCTTTGCCCCTTTTTACCATCTCTCTCAGTTTCTGCCTTTCTTCTTGTGTTCTGTTTACGCTCGAGAAACACCTTCCTGTATGCCGGCATGTCCCTTAATCGTGCTTTCTCCTGCAGGATCCTGTTCCCAGTCGATTCTGCCTTGAAGGTCCCTTCACTGGCCGGGTTCTTTTTTTTACAAACCCCCCTATTCTCCGAAAATTTTTCAGCGGGGTCATGTCGTCTTCTCCTATTACTTTATGATGCTTTAAATTGTTTTTTTCCCCCTTTTTTCTTGCTTCTATTTTCCCCTTCAACTTCCGGACCCCATACACAAAGACGGACCCCCCCTTTCATTCCCCCACTGCATTCCCTGTGATCCCCCTAAATTTTTTTGATTTCCTTCATTGGCTTTCCTTTCTTCGTTTCACTAGCTAAGTGCTTGGGCTCGGGGTTTTCTTTTTTCCCTTCCGGCTTTCCCGGGCTCTGCTGTGGTCTTTGGGGCCCTCCACATATGTTTAGTCTTTATTTAACAGTCTCCACAGATAGAGCTTCTACTTGCAGTTTTGCTCCTTTTTTCCCTACGCCCCTTATTTGTGACTGAGGTAGCAGTCTCTGTTTTCAATCCCAAAATGTTTTTAGTTTTTTAGGCTGTTTCAGATTTTTAGTTCCTCTTCAAAACTCTGTATCCGGGGCTCTGCGTTTTGACTTGACCTCCCATTTCCCCTTTCCATTAACCCTCTTCCATTCTCATGCTAAGTTCTTCTATTTTTCCTTTTCCCCATTCATGTTCCCATTTTATGAGCTCTGCTTCCAATTTCCTTTTGCAGTTTCCTCCTCCTGCCCCTTTGGTTTTTTTTTGTTGCTTTGGCACCCATTTTTGTTTTACCTGATTCCTCAGTTTGGGGGAAACCTATTAATTTTGTGTGTTAGGTTTTAGGTGTAGTAGAGTGTGGGGGGGGGGGGGGTAAGGGGGAACTGTGGCTATGTGGGGGAGGGGTGGGGGGGGGGAGTGGGAAGGAGGGAGAAGCAAATGGGAGGGGGGGGAGGGGAAGGAGGGAGAGGTGGGAGGGGGGGGGTGAAAGAGGAGGCGAGGATAGGTAAAGGAGTGAGATGTCGGTGGGAGGGAGGGGGTGTTGTGTTGTGTGTGTGTATTGTGTTTGTTGGGGGGGGGGGTGTGGGGGTGTGTTGTGTGTGTGTGGTTTTGTTAGTTGCCATTCTTCCTGGCACTGTCGATTGGACACTAGGCCTGTGTAATGCACGTGTATTGTGTGTGTGTGTGTGTTTTTTGTGTTTTTTTTTTTGTGTTTTTTGTGTGTGTTGTGTGTATTGTGTGGGTGTGTGTGTGTGTGTGTGTGTGTGTGTTGTGTGTGTGTATGTGTGTGTGGTGTGGTGTGTGTAAATTTGTGTGGAATTATGTGGGGTTTAGGATGTTCGAAAAATGGGGACTTTTCTTGGAGTGTAATGTGGATTCTCAGTGGGCCTTGTGACCACAACCCTTTTTGACCTGACCCCCCCCCTCCTGGGGTTGGGCCCCCCCTTTTTACAAAGTTGCCTATGCTTTACCCGCCACCTAGTTATAGTAAGTTACTCGCCTTGTTCAATGGATTACCAATTGCTATTCCTTGTTGAATACTTGAGTGCCTATTCTTTATCGTGCTATGAGAGACCATTCGCAATCAGCTTGGCGGTTAATTGAAACCTGGAACCCCACACCCATGCAATCACTCAATAGGTGATTACAGTACTTGCAATGCAACTGTAGCAGCCTGTAGATTGTCCAGCTCGATGTGACGTCCTGGCGTAGATCCACCTCAATTTCTTCTCGTTAATAATGTACCCTATTCACTGTATTTATCTCACTGGTCACACGATTGTTTCACTTTATTATCTTTCTTGGGTGACACGTGACAACGTCGCCTGAGCACACACACTAGCCTGCCAGCCCTGACTGCGCACCACGTTTGACTTTCTATATCACTTACGAAAATGCGGCTCTCCCTACACTTATGTGGCTCAGGCAGTTTATAAAACCTTCAAGGAATTGTTCACTATCCTAGCACACTTAGCTACCCTTCAGATCACTTGGGTAGCCCTCAAAAACACATATTCGCGGAGCGCGGAAGGCATGACCGGCGCACACACTGACTAGACGGGGTGTGTGTGTGTGAAAATCAGTTGCCTGGAGTGGAGTCTTTGCTCAGTGCCTTATTGACTAACACATCAGGATGTCCCCCGGTTACAGTAGGAGCTCCTGGGTCACAGTAGAAGGCCCCTGGGTCACAGTAGAAGACCCCTGGGTCATAGAAGGAGCCCCCTGGGTCCCAGCAGGAGCTTCCTGGGTCCTAGTAGGAGCTTCCTGGGTCCCAGCAGGAGCTTCCTGGGTTCAAGCAGGGGTCTTAGCAAGAGCTCCTTGGGGTCCCAGCAAGAGCTCCTTGGGGCCTCGGCAAGAGCCCCTTGGGGTCCTAGCAGGAGCTCCTTGAGGTCCAAGCAGGAGCTCCTTGGGGTCCCAGCAGGAGCTCCTTGGGGTTCCAGCAGGAGCCCCTGGGTTCCAGCAGGAGCCCCTGGGTTCCAGCAGGAGCCCCTGGGTTCCAGCAGGACTCCCTCCAGGTCACAACAGGCCAAAGACTTTTTAATGAGCTTTCAGCATGTTAACAAAATATTTGTTGGTCCCACAGTTGATCTCTTGAAGAGAATGCAGCATTTTATGACCCATACAAGGTTAGCTCTTGTTTTTTAAGATACTATAGATAATAATAACATTTAGGTGAAAACACAAACATTTTCAGAAGATGCTCAATAAGCCAGATTTTAATGGCAAAAGGTGTATTAAATTTCGAACTGCAAGTACTGTATTCACCTGTCTGATTAGTCATTGTGCAAGTCAAGCTTTAGGTGAGACTGTGACAAAATAAAATAAATATTGCATAAATATATATTGTTTGTAACACACACATACACGAGGCAGGGTCAGGAGCCGAGTCTCAACCCCTGAAACCACAGTTAGGTGAGTACTATAAATTCTCAGGTGTTTTGTGATCATTCTTCATTTAGCTTTTCTACCTGATTAAAATAAATAAATGCTGTTTTGTTAAAAAAAATAATAAATAAATTGCATTATATTTTAATGTTTCTTTTATCTTATTTTCTACAAGGGATGCTATTCGTAATGGATGCACAGATGATGAATTGCTAGAAGTTGTTGGTGCAGCTGTTGGCAGGAAGAAAAGACAACATGCAGGTGTGTATTGCTGAATACAGTAAACCCTCTCGTAATACATGGCATACATTCCTGAAAATCGGCACTGTTTGGAATTTATCATTATGTTAATGGGAAGAACGTACAGGAAAAATAGGGTTATGTTCCGTATCCTTTCAGATTTGCCAAGCACCTTTTTAATATTCTACTAGGTAAATATTACTACAGTTTATCTTGTATTCTCATTGCTGTATATTAACATGGAAGCATATAGAGAGTGTTGATGTGGTCCTACTGGGCTGTAGCAATGAGCTATGTTGTTTGTGTTGATGTGAATACAGTAAGTCCTCAACTTATAAACACATTGAGAATCTTCTGTATTGTGTATAATATTAGTATATCATTCTTTCTTCTTTCAACAAACTGGCTGTATCCCACTGAGGCAAGGTGGCCCAAAAAGAAAAATGAAAGTTTCTCTTTTTAACTTTAGTAATATATACAGGAGAAGGGGTTACTAGACTCTTGCTCTTGCCATGTTAGTTGCCTCTTACAACATGCATGGCTTATGGTGGAAGACTTCTGTTCCACTTCCCCATGGAGATAAAAGTGGACAGCACGGCTGCCTCTAAATTACCAAACTCGGGTTCAATTCCTGGCGGAGTCTTCTTTTAGCCATGCGTGTTGTAAAAGTCAACTAAAATGCCGGGAACAATGGGCTAGTAACCCCTTTTCCTGTAATGATTACTAAAAAGAATAAGAAGAAAATTTTACGTGGGATGTCTGAATGTGCGTGGATGTTGTGTGAATGATAAGAAAGAGATGATTGTGGATGGTATGAATGAGAAGAAGCTGGATGTCCTGGCTTTAAGTGAAACAAAGCTGAAGGGGGTGGGAGAGTTTCAGTGGAGAGAAATGAATGGGATTAGGTTAGGGATTTCAAATAGAGTTAGAGCTAAAGGAGTAGCAATAATGTTGAAGGATAAGCTATGGCAGGAAAAGAGGGAATATAAATGTATTAATTCAAGGATTATGTGGAGTAAAATAAAGGTTGGATGTGAAAAGTGGATTATAGTAAACATAGAATTGATGAGGGGAAAAGGGTGAGTGGTGCACTTAGGAGTCTGTGGAGACAAAGAACTTTGTCCTTGGAGGCAAAGAGGGGAATGTATGAGAGTATAGTTTTACCAACGCTCTTATATGGGTGTGAAGCATGGGTGATGAATGTTGCAGCGAGGAGAAGGCTGGAGGCAGTGGAAATGTCATGTCTGACGGCAATGTGTGGTGTGAATATAATGCAGAGAATTCGTAGTTTGGAAGTTAGGAGGTGGTGCGGGATTACCAAAACTGTTGTCCAGAGGGCTGAGGAAGGGTTGTTGAGGTGGTTCGGACATGTAGAGAGAATGGAGCGAAACAGAGTGACTTCAAGAGTGTATCAGTCTGTAGTGGAAGGAAGGTGGGGTAGGGGTTGGCCTAGGAAAGGTTGGAGGGAGGGGGTAAAGGAGGTTTTGTGTGCGAGGGGCTTGGACTTCCAGCAGGCATGCGTGAGCGTGTTTGATAGGAGTGAATGGAGACAAATGGTTTTTAATACTTGACGTGCTGTTGGAGTGTGAGCAAAGTAACATTTATGAAGGGGTTCAGGGAAACCGGCAGGCCGGACTTGAGTCCTGGAGATGGGAAGTACAGTGCCTGCACTCTGAAGGAGGGGTGTTAATGTTGCAGTTTAAAAACTGTAGTGTAAAGCACCCTTCTGGCAAGACAGTGATGGCGTGAATGATGGTGAAAGTTTTTCTTTTTCGGGCCACCCTGCCTTGGTGGGAATCGGCCAGTGTGATAATAAAAAAAAATAATAGTAAACATATATGCACCTGGAGAAGAGAGAAGTGTAGACGAGAGAGAGAGAGATTTTGGGAAATGTTAAGTGAATGCGTGGGGAGTTTTGAACCAAGTGTGAGAGTACTGGTGGTTGGGGATTTCAATGCTAAAGTGGGTAAAAATGTTGTGGAGGGAGTAGTAGGTAAATTTGGGGTGCCAGGGGAAAATGAAAATAGGGAGCCTTTAATTGAGCTGTGTAGAAAGAGGTTTGGTAATAAGTAATACATATTTTATGAAAAAAGACGATAAATAAATATACAAAGTAAGATATAGCACATAATGAAAGTAGTTTGTTAGATTATGTATTGGTGGATAAAAGGTTGATGGGTAGGCTCCAGGATGTACATGTTTATAGAGGGGCAACTGATATATCGGATCATTATTTAGTTGTAGAGGAAAATGGCAACAAGAAGTAAGAGAGAGGTGAAAGTGTATCAACTAAGGGAGGAGGAAGTTCGGGTGAGATATAAGCAACTATTGGCAAAAAGGTGGGCTAGTGCAAGTATGATTAGTGGAGGGGTTGAAGAGGGTTGGTATAGTTTTAAAAATGCAGTATTAGAATGTGGGGCAGAAGTTTGTGGTTAGAGGAGGGTGGGTGCAGGAGGAAAGAGGAGTGATTGGTGGAATGATGAAGTAAAGGGAGTGTTAAAAGAGAAAAAGGTGGCCTATGAGAGGTTTTTACAAAGCAGAAGTGTTATAAGAAGAGCAGAGTATATGGAGAGTAAGAGAAAGGTGAAGAGAGTGGTGAGAGAGTGCATTAGGAGAGCAGATGATAGAGTGGGAGAGGCTCTGTCAAAAAATTTTAATGAAAATAAAAAAAAAAATTAGAGTTAAACAAGTTAAGAAAGCCTAGGGCACGAATGGATTTGTCAGTTGAAAACAGAGTAAGAGAGTTAGTAGATGGGGATATGGAGGTATTGGGTGGATGGCGGGAATATTTTGAGGAACTTCTAAATGTCAATGAAGAAAGGGAAGCGGTAATTTTATGCATTGGCGAGGGAGGTATACCATCTTTTAGGAGTGAAGAAGAGCAGGATGTGAGTGTGGGGGAGGTGCATGAGGCAATACATACAATGAAAGGGGGTAAAGCAGCTGTAGCTTACAGGATCATGACAGGAATGTTAAAAGCAGGGGGGGGGGTATAGTGTTAGTGGTTGGTATTTTTGTTTTATAAATGTATGAAAGAGGGGAACGTACCTAGGGATTGGCAGAGAGCATGTATAGGTTCTTTATATAAAGGAAAGGGGGACAAAAGAGATTGTAAAAATTATAGAGGAATTAGTTTACCAAGTATACCAGGAAAAGTGTACGGTAGGGTTATTATTGAAAGAATTAGAGGTAAGACAGAGTGTAGGACTGTGTATGAGCAAGGAGGTTTTAGAGTGAGTAGGGGATGTGTAGATCAAGTGTTTACATTGAAGCATATATGTGAACAGTAATTAGATAAAGGTAGGGAAGTTTTTATTGCATTTATGGATTTAGAAAAGGCATATGATAGAGTGGAGAGGGAAGCAATGTGGCAGATGTTGCAAGTATATGGAATAGGTAGTAAGTTACTAATTGCTGTAAAGAGATTTTATGAGGATAGTGAGGCTCAGGTTAGGGTGTGTAGAAGAGAGGGAGAATACTTCCCGGTAAAAGTAGGTCTTAAACAGGGATGTGTAATGTCACCATGGTTGTTTAATATATTTATAGATGGGGTTGTAAAAGAAGTAAATGCTAGGGTGTTCGGGAGAAGGGTGGGATTAAATTATGGGGAATCAAATACAAAATGGGAATTGACACAGTTACTTTTTGCTGATGATACTGTGCTTATGGGAGATTCTAAAGAAAAATTGCAAAGGTTAGTGGATGAGTTTTGGGAGAGTGTGTTAAGGTAGAAAGTTGAAAGTGACAATAAGGTGATGAGGGTATCAAATGATTTAGATAAAGAAAAATTGGATATCAGATTGGAGAGGAGGAGTATGGAAGAAGTGAATGTTTTCAGATATTTGGGAGTTGACGTGTCAGCGGATGGATTTGTGAAGGATGAGGTCAGTCATAGAGTTGATGAAGAAAAAAGGTGAGTGGTGCGTTGAGGTTTATGCAGAGACAAAAAACGTTATCTATGGAGGCAAAGAAGGGAATGTATGAAAGTATAGTGGTACCAACACTCTTATATGGGTGTGAAGCTTGGGTTGTAAATGCGAGAAGACGGTTGGAGGCAGTGGAGATGTCCTGTCTCAGGGCAATGTGTAATGTAAATATTATGCAGAAAATTCAGAGTTTGGAAATTAGGAGAAAGTGTGGAGTTAATAAAAGTATTAGTCAAAGGGCTGAAGAGGGGTTGTTGAGGTCGTTTTGTCATTTAGAGAGAGTGGATCAAAGTAGAATGACATGGAGAGCGTATAAATCTGTAGGGGAAGGAAGGCAGGGTAGGGGTCGTCCTCGAGAAGGTTGGAGGGAGGGGGTAAAGGAGGTTTTGTGGGCGAGGGGCTTGGACTTCCAGCAAGTGTGCATGAGTGTGTTAGATAGGAGTGAATGGAGATGAATGGTATTTGGGACCTGACAATCTGTTGGAGTGTGAGCAGGGTAATATTTAGTGAAGGGATTTAGGGAAACCAGTTATTTTTATATAGCCGGAGTTAAGTCCTGGAAATGGGAAGTACAATGCCTGCATTTTAAAGGAGGGGTTTGGAATATTGGCAGTTTGGAGGGATATGTTGTGTATCTTTATACGTATATGCTTCTAAGCTGTTGTATTCTGAGCACCTCTGCAAAAACAGTGATTGTGTGAGTGATGTGAAAATGTTGAATGATGATGAAAGTATTTTCTTTTCGGGGATTTTCTTTCTTTTTGGGTCACCCTGCCTTGATGGGAGACGGCCGACTTGTTGAAAATAAAACAAAAGAACAAGTAAGAAAAATATAAGAAAACCCAGAGGGGTGTGTGTATCTTCTTTCAACAAACCAGCCGTATCCCACTGAAGCAGGGTGGCCCAAAAAGAAAAACAAAAGTTTCTCTTTTTAACTATAGTAATGTATACAGGAGAAGGGGTTACTAGGCCCTTGCTCCCGGCATTTTAGTCATCTCTTACAACATGCATGGCTTACTGAGGAAGAATTCTGTTCCACTTTCCCATGGAGATAAGAGGAAATAAATAAGAGCAAGAGCTAGAAAGAAAATAGAA